GGAGGCAGCAGCGCCTGGAGAGGCCACACAATATGCTGGAGTAAGAGCGTCACGGTGCGCGCGGAGAGAATCCTAGCGCCATACTGCGGTGCAAGCCGGAATGGCGCGTGGCACAAGTGCGGGAGGCGGAGGGCGCAAGGCGGGGGACGCGCGTGGCTGTGGTGCATGCATGGTGAATCGTACCGAGCTTGTTGTTGAGGAACGCGACAATGTTTTCGATCGTTCGCTGCTCCGCGAAGCTGGCGCGTGCGGGGAAGAGGCGCACGGGGAGAGAAAAGTATCGCAGATCAGTTCGTTGTTAAATCCACACTTGAAAGGGAAGATTCGTTGTTGTATACACACAACAACGAAAATGCGAAAAAAAACAACGAAAAGAAAGAGATCGAAGAAAGCGAGAGGCACGCATTGGAGGAGAACGTACTCTCGCGGGGTGGTGGCCTGCGCGGGGAAGTATTTGAGCGTGGGGTAGCCCGAAACACCGAACTTCTGACAGATTTCCTTCTCCGCCTCGCAGTCCAGCTGGACATGACAGAACACGAGGGAAAGGGAAGAGGGCGAAACGAGAGAGAGGAGGGAGGGCCGGGGGAGAGGAGGTGGGAAAGAGGGGAGAGGGAGAAAGTGGAGGATCGACATTGATAGATTGGGTTGGCATTGCCATAGTTTGCTACAGTCTTTCATGATTCATGTATTTGAACGCGTCATAAGCGCTTTCAGTGAAATGAGCTTAGAGGTATCAGCAGCGAAAATGGCTGCACGACTTAAGCACAGGCAATACGAGAGCAAGCATCTGCAGAAATGAGAGAGGAGGCGTGTGACGTGCCTTAGCGATGACAATGTCCGGTGTAGTGCGGTACAAAAGGGCGACCTTCTCCCAGTCCGGAGCCAGGCGCTTGCAGTGGCCGCACCTGTAAGCGGGTCCCAATGCATGGAAGATAAGCAAGCATACTGAGACGTTAATGGCGATTATCTAATCACGAGATTTGCAGAAAGCTACGTAAAATGTGCAGATTTCAAATCAGACTTCTGCGATCAGTAACTCTGATGTTTCAACGTGCTAGTTTTATGCCGGTTCCAGCATTATGAACGCTACGTGATGTCGAATGTAACGAAACGTGTCAGTGAGCATGCATTTCAGTGATAAACATTAGTAGGCACGAGATCGGACTTATTGCGTGGCGCACACACCATGGCGTGTAGAATTTGACGAACACGTTGTCTGTGAGGCCGACGACCTCGTCAAAATTGGCCTTAGTCAGCTCGACCACTTTCGACTCCGCGCCGAGCGACACTGCGAGGAGACATGCCAAGCTTAGCACGGCGAGACCCGCTTTGGCTACGGAAACACGGCGAGCCATGATGACTTAGCTGATCAGTAGGGAGAACAAGCTCGAAATTGGAACACGTAATTGGAGAGCAGAAATTGCGATAAGTAGGGAAGCAAGAATGTGGGAATGGGAAGTGCAAGGAAGCTGGGCAGGGGTTGGTTGGTGGAGGGAAGGCGGGGAGGGGGGAGAGGGGGAGTCAGAGAGGGGGGGAAGATCGGGTGGGGGAGGGGGGTGGTCCAAGAGAAATACCAAGCGGGGAAGGGGACGGAACAGCCATTACGTTCAAGGGGGAAGGATTGGTAAACCGATAATAATCGGCCATTATCTCCGATACTCAGATTTCGCCTGAGCGCGTTCTCAGGTGTAATCAAAATAGACTTTCTCAACGTTGATTGGTCAACGCTTTACAATCACATTTCTCACGCTGGTCGAACTCATTAGAAAGTGACAAAAACAGATCCATCCAGTTTACCCTCCCGACTTGGATATAAGTACGAAATTTACGTAGTAAGAGATTGAAGCCCATATAGTTCACTTGGTAGTGCTCGGTAGCGCAACTGACCGCTAAACAGCGCTACCGAAAGCACTAGACGACGCTACGGAGAACTATTCGGGCATGGCAGAGAAAAATAAAACCCCTAGGGAACCTGGATGCATTTTCGAGAGGAGTCAACCCTAAACACAGGAATGGGCATTGTTTATAGGGTTGATGCCTCCCGAGTCGCATCCCTTCCCGATTGGGTTTTATTTTTTCTGTAACGTGGGTTGCAATATGCTTTCCAAAATATTGGGCGGCTTTCGGTATTTAGGGTAAATCCTTCCCGGAAATTGTCTAGGTTCGCTACGGGTTTATATTTATTTGTTTGCAAGCGCTGTAATTATTTTCTAGTGACTGTATAGAGAGTTTACACAGACAATCTTCCTACTATATCGCAAAACCGTGTTTCTGTTAGTGGTTACACCTGAGAACGCGCTCAGGAAATTTTTGAGTATCGAAGATAATGGCCGGATAATAATCAGATATATAATCGAGTAACGCAGAGCACACCTCCCGACCGAGTTCGACCTGGCGACGTTTAGCTGCAGGTGACGTGCCGTGTCATTCCCCAATTGGTCCATTTCCTGGTGGTTGGCTACGTGGTGGTTCCAGCCAGGAAGGAGGCGGGGGAGATTTTGTTCCGCCCACCAGGAGCAAGACTTCCAGAATCAAGCGCCATCATTCGCTGCGACCTGAAAACATCTCCGCTGCGATGGTTGGTGGGGCAGCAACTGTCGGCCAATATCATTGATACTCAAAGTATGCCAGAGAAAGTTTGCATCGGTGGTACTCAACCTCGATTTCTTATTGCTGATTGGTTCTCGCTTTTCGATCACACTTTCACGCAAATAATACCTCCGAAATGTGACAGAAATAATACATAAGATAAATATGAACAATTGTGTCGAGGTGCTAACCAAGAAATATAAGTTGTATCAAGCACAAATTGCGATAAAAAAACCATCAGGAAAAAGGATGCAGACTGGAAATTAATTTAACAGAATGGGGTCGACGGCACCGTCAACCCTCAGTCGACCATGGACTTGCTGACTTAGAACAGAAGAAAACTAGAGCTACATTGAATGGCATGTTTTGTAACGATGGCATCAACCTTAAATGTTATGCGACAAGATGTTTAAGGTTGATTCCATCCGGACTGGATGCCTTTCTGCATGGAGTTTAATTTTAATTGCATGCGGGCAGTAAGCTCTGCTGGACAGTGTCGTTTGTTTGCTGTGATAATCCAAGCGGAATGCATAGTTCTAAACACTTGACGGCTCATTTAAGGTTAATATCCGAGCGTTTTAGTATTTCTTCTGTTTTGTTGGGTACGTGCGGTCGAGGTGCTGGTCGCGACTATGTTTTAGGATTGTGCTTAAACTTTTATCAAACAGAAAGTAAAGTTACTATACCGAGAAAATGTTGGCTGATTACGTTCGCGAACCGCGTGTGGCATAATCTGAGTATCAATGATATTGGCCGCAGCAACTGTCCCCCCCCCCCCCTCCCCCCTCCCCCCCCCCCCCCCCCCCCCCCCCCTCCCCCCTCCCCCCCCCCCCCCCCTCCCCCCTCCCCCCCCCCCCCCCCCCCCCCCCCCCCCCCCCCCCCCCCCCCAATCAGGAATCCGACGGGACACCTGGGACATCCACCAACCACAATGCGTGCATGGCTGGTCACATCAGCGCCACGGTGGAATCGCCTACCCGCCATAAGTAGCTCACTATTAGTTCGATGAACCTCCATAAAAGAGCCACATGTCTGTTGCTCCATGTCTCTTAATCTAGAAAGACCCATAATACTACTTCTCTTGGTTATCGTGTGTATCACAGATGTTTTATTTCACGACTAATAAATGCACGCATTTATTGTGAGACATAACAAATATGATAATTATTGCGGGATGTATTTCATGCCTGATTTTGGATGGCTGTATGGGGCTACTGCAGCAATACCCAACTCTAAAAGAAAAAGTAGCTGCTTGAGTCTGTTTTTTGAAGTGTTTGCTCCGGCGTAACAACGAAAACATGTCAAAGCGTTACCGGTCCCCGCAAACGCATGTCCTTTCGTCAAGTGCAAATCCAGAGCCTCCAACGTGGCTCAAGCGAGCCCGTGAGCCGCAGCGGCAATTCGTTGTCACTGTGCTATTTTTTTGTGGCCCAGCCTATCCCCGCGCGGCGCCTCGAATCCGCGGCACGGGAAATGGCCCTCCTCGTGACAGCCCGAAGCCCGAAATTTGAGCAACCGTCATTTTGATTTCGACATTGGCCGTCTGCTGATGTCGGCCCGCCCCTCCCCCCTGCCCCCCACCCCCCCGACCTCCAAACCTTCACCATGATTCACGCATCACGCGCTCTCCCGTGCCCTCGACCCCTCGTTTGCCTTGCTCCGCGTTTTCAAATCAATTGCCCGACTGGATACAGTATTATGGACAACACGTCAGCCCTACCCTCACTCGCAAAACTGCATGCCCGAGTCGAGTTGTGTGCGGCTTGCGTGGAGTGGTCTGGATCCTCCTTAGTGACACCGACACCCACCAGTCATCACCTACCTCACGTCACAATCGCCCTTTGGCCCGTAGTTTTCCCTGCCGTCGGCACTTCGCTGTCAACTAAACCTACCCACTCGACACCAAAAGAGCTGTGACCCCTTTACGTCAGTTAGGATTCTCACCGCCCAGCATGTCTCGCCTCCTTTTGCGTTCAAGCAAGACCATACTATGCATAACCAGACGTTCCATCAAGTCCGTCATTCCGTCGTTGACAGCCGCCATCCCTTTTAACCTGAACCTTTAGAGAAAGTCGCGTTCCATTCAGATCTAGACCGACACTCACCGTTCCTGGACCGTGACTCCTTAGCACGTCTGTCTCCCCATCTTCGCTCTTACATCTTGGCTCCTCCCGCACGCTGTAGGGGCGTTTTAATCGGACTTTCTCACGCATTCCTTTCTGAACAGACGAAACCTTTTCCAACTCAGCCTCCACTCTTGGGGCTTTGAAACGATTCTACTAGCTCGTTCTTTCGCTCCCTTCAAAACGGCGGTGGATACGCGACGCGTCGTGTGCCCTGGCGCGACGCGTCGTCGGTGAGTCCCCCAGTGATAGCGTAGAGGAGGCGCGGCAACAGCAGCAGCAGCAGCGATGCGTTCCCGAAGGGTGCTGATAGGCTCTCCTCCACGCATCCTCCCCCGGAGAAGCCCCAACTTTCCGCTTGTTCTGCTAGCCGCCTTTCTCGCTTTGTCTCTAGACAAGCGACGGGTCCTTCAACCTGTCCATGGTGCCGATTCATCAGGTAATTATTAGCCGCCAATTCCTCTCGCAGCCGCTATGCGGCTCTCCGCGCGGAGCGGGCATCCATCGGTCCGAGCCAAGTACGAGAGCTGCATCCGTAATGCAATCTGCGGATTTGCTGGTCGGTCAGTGACCTGCGCTGGACTTTGGGGCGCCTTTTAAGCCGACTGGAGGTCGCGTGGGTCAGTGGCAATCGGTTTGTGTTCGCTGGCTTAGGAGTCGTCCCAACCGCGAGGGATGTTGCCAGGACTCTACGCTTCTTCTCATAGCTTGAGAGCACGCCATATTTACGTCACACGCGCGGCGGCTGGTGATCGGTTCACAGCGGACGCTGGCGAGAATTTTTCAGAACGACTTTATCGCGACGGAGTATAGTGGTAGCGCTCACAGCGGGAATCAAAATTCCCCGTCGTGCATGCCGGGGCGCATGCACCCAAGCGGGACGCAAGGCGCCTTGAAAGTCGGCTCACGGTGGCGATCATTTCTATCTGACCGTCACCTGAGCGTGGCGCTGCGTGGCCTCAGGACTCTCGGAGAACAGGCGCCTCAAAAGGCCGAATCGTCTTACTAAGAAAAACGGTACGCGGCGCGGCTCCGCGACTAGGCTTCGGCGTGAGAGCTGAGAGCTGTGTAACGTACAAGCGAAAGTGTAATTTAGAAAGAAAGTCGTGGTGCTTACCGTGCATCTCGGGGCGCATGAGAGGCTTAAGAGAACCGGGGGCTGCTGGCAGACTCCAGGGCCGGGCTACCGAAAAGTTCTATACTCATCGTTAATACCCCTCGCTCTTTCGTTAGCCCGGCCCTGGAGTCCAGGACCGGTCCGAACGAGTTTCCGTGCCGTGACAGAATCATATCTGATTTGCACCCTTTCTTCCTCTCCCCCCCCCTCTTCCCTCCCTAACCACCCTTTCACATTGCGCAGATCGCGGATCTACGGTGACTCCCTCCAGTTCGTACATAGTCTATTTGCGCTCCGCGCCGCCTATTCTCAACTACCGCGGAGGGATCAAGGGCTATGCCGCGACGGCGCCCGACGTCGCAGACTCGTCGCTGCTAACGACGTCGTCCATCGGCGACGCGCTGGGCAACATCGGTCACAGTGTCAGCGACGCCGTTAATGGCGCAATGAGCGACATTCGCCAGAGATTTCGGCCGCTGCGCGCCGATATCAGGGCCTCTGGCGTGCAGGCTTTCCAGAAGTTTCTGGCGAAGATTCAGCAGGATATCGCGGCGTCAGTCAACGTCTCCTCTAAGAACATCTTTAGAAGGTATGCATGCAAGAATAAGCTTGTATGCAAGAAGTTGTGTGTGCATCAGTCGCAAATTAGTACTACAAAACGCTAACACACGGGCAGCCCTCTCCTCCTGTTCACTCCACCCATCGATCCTCTCTCTCTCTCTCCCATTTCCCGATTCTCCCTTTTCTCCCTTCCCCGCAGCTACACCTACGCGGTAAACGCGTTCGGCGCGCGACTAAATCAGGACCAAGTAGAGGCCCTCGAGTCGCATCCTGACGTGGCAATGGTGCGGCCCGACCGCATCGTGCATCTGCGCACGGCGCACACGCCGACGTTCCTGAAGCTGTCGACGACGCTGTGGAGCGCGAATGGCGGCGTGAAGAACGCGGGCGAGGGCGTGATTATCGGCGTGATCGACTCGGGCATATGGCCGGAGCACCCGTCGTTCGCTGACAACGTGAGTCAAGGGAGAGAGATGAGTGACGAGACGAGACGTGACGTGAGAGGCGCGAGGCGCGAGGCGCGAGGGCGTGAGATACAAAAGGCGAAAGATGCCTTCAACAACTCGACACCCTTTCCCACTTTCCCTTCTCCCCCCTTTCCCCCCCACCCTCCCACGAGCAGACGTACGGGCCGGTTCCGGCGCGGTGGCGCGGTACGTGCGTGAAGTCGGCGGATTTCAAGGCGTGCAACAAGAAGGTGATCGGCGCGCGGTTCTACAACGCGGGCATCAGCCAGGCGGGCGTCGCAATCGACTATGCGACGGACTTCAAGTCGCCGCGCGACGGCAACGGCCACGGCTCCTGGTGCTCCGGGTACGGTGATGCCGCTCCTTGGTAATGCCTCTAGAGAATCACAGGAAATTCGTGCCGTACCGCGGCTCTAGAGATACTGTAGAGTTTGAGAATGTGTGTTGCTCGGTTCGGTGTCCGGCATTTCGTTTCAACGGTACCATTTCATTCGTACAAAGCCAAGCACCACCTTTACTCTAAGCCAGCCAGTCATCTTCCCCCATCCACATGAAATTCGTTTTTCCGCACGTTTATCACTCGTCATTCCCCCCTGCTCCCCGGTTCCCTCATCCTCCCCCTTTCTCTCCCCTTCTTCTCCTCTCCCCCGTCGTCCCCGAACCCCCTCTTTCCGCGGAAACCCCAGGGCCGCGGCGGGAAACAATGGAGTGAACGTGAAAATGGGCCCTTCGAGCTTCGGCATCGCGTCGGGCATGGCGCCGCGCGCGCGCATCGCGATGTACAAGACGATGTGGCGGCTCGCCGGCACAGACGGCGCGAGCGGCGCGATGAGCGACGTGTACGCAGCCGTCGATCAGGCGATCGCGGACGGCGTGGATGTGCTGAGCCTCTCCGTGGGTGGCGGGCTGACGAGCTACTTCGACGATCTTAGCTTCATCTCCGCCGTACAGGTGCGCGCCAATCGCGGACGGACCGAGCGGCGCATATTAGGCTGCAGGGGTTGGCAGGTCTGCGCGATTCAGAGGCGTCTCGAACATCAACTGAGCTTGTCTCGTAATCAGAGTTAACAAGACGCTAATCAGAGTAATCTCGTAGCACCCCTCGCCCTCTCTTCTGCTGCTCTGTTCCCCCCTCACCTCTCCCTCTCTCCCACCTCTCCCCGCCTCTTCCCCATATGGCGCGCGCGCAGGCGGGCGTTTTCGCGACATTAGCGGCGGGCAACCAGGGCCCGCCCCCGGCGGACCTGTTTAACTACGCCACCATCGACAACTACTCGCCCTTCTACCTCACCGTCGGCGCCAGGTACGCTACTCTCCTCCTCCTCCTCCTTCCCCCGCCTTGCTTGCCCCCTCTTCCGCGCCTGGCTTGCCCTTCCTCCCCCCGTCCCTGCCCTCCCTGCCCCACCATCGACAACTACTCGCCCTTCTTCCTCACCGGCGGCGCCAGGTACGCCCTCCCACCCTCCCTACGCTCACCCAGGCACGCCCGCGGGTAACCAGATACGCCCTGCGCGCAGCTAGGCAGGCCCTGCTCTGCACAGTTGCTGCCTGTCGCTCTCCTCCATCCCTCACCACCTTTCCTCCCCGTCGATCTAAGTCCCATCCCCCTTCACGACGCCACCCTCCCCCTATATGCCACACCCCTCCCCCCCCACCCCCTCCCCGCAGCTCGACGGATCGGCGGTACATGGCGAACATGACGCTGGGCAACGTTAGTGGTGCTGCAGGGGCTACCAAATGGCACCAAATAACCCCTACCCCCTGCCCCTTCCCCCCCACCTCCCTCCCCCCCCCCCCCCCCAGCTCGACGGATCGGCGGTACGTGGCGAACATGACGCTGGGCAACGGAGTGGTGCTGCAGGGCCCGTCGTGGGGTGGCAGCAACAAGATGCTGCAGATTGTGGACGGCGGCCAGGCCGTGCGCCCCTTCGCCAGCTCCACGCGGGTATGTGTTGGTGTTGCTTTTGATTTGAGAGTTCTGAGACGTCTCAGATCCAGCTCCACCCAAGTATGTTGGTGTTGCTTTTGAGAATTCTCAAGAGATCATGGATGGCGGCCAGGCCGTGCGCCCCTTCGCCAGCTCCACGCAGGTGAGTATCTGCCCAACCCTTGTTCTACCCACTCTCCCTTCACTCCAGCCTTTACTCTGCCCTTCCTTCCCTTCTCCTCTCCCCTTTCTCTTCCTTGTCCTCTCCCATTCTCCCTCCCTTTTTCTCTTCTCCCCCATGTCATGTCTCTGTTCCCTCCCCCCCTCTCTCACCCCAGGCGAAGCTGTGCTATCCAACGCCATCATGGCCAATAAAGTTTCCGGCAAGATCCTGCTGTGCGTGCGCGGGGAGAACTTCCTCACGGACAAGCTCTCGGCCGCCGTCACAGCGCCTCTCCTCTTACCACTCCCCTCTCCCCCCGCCCCATCCACCCATTCCCCTTCCCCCAGGCGAAGCTGTGCTACTCGAACGCCATAATGGCCAACAAGGTCTCAGGCAAGATCCTTCTCTGCGTGCGCGGGGAGAACTTCCTCACGGACAAGCTCTCGGCCGCCGTCACAGCGGGCGCTGCAGCAGTGATAATCAGCAACGTGGCCAAGGGGCTGAGCAACACGGTCTTTCTCCGGTCTACGATTCCCGTGATCCACATCACGGCCAACCAGGCCGCGCAGTTGCAGCGGTACCTCAGCAACATGCGGTAAGAAGGGGGGGAAGAGTAACGGGGAGAGAGACCGGGCTGGGGAGAGGAGTGGGATGGAGTGGGAAGGAGTGGAAGGGTATGTGAGGGAGTTTTCTGAGACAGACATGTCCTCTGAGGGGGCATGTGGGGACCACCACCCAGTGAGCATGTGGGCACCACCACCCAGTGAGCATGTGGGGACCACCACCCAGTGAGCATGTGGGCACCACCACCCAGTGAGCATGTGGGCACCACCACCCAGTGAGCATGTGGGGACCACCCATGTGATCATCAGCAACGTGGCCAAGGGACTGGCCAAGTGACAACGACATGGTGCCAATGATTGCCGGTTTCTCCCCCTCTCACCGTGTCCCTCCCTCTCTCTCTCTCTCTCTCTCTCTCTCTCTCTCTCTCTCTCTCTCTCTCTCTCTCTCTCTCTCTCTCGAACGGTCCCTCTCTCTCTCTCTCTCTCTCCCTCTCCCCATGCCTCTCCCCCACCTCTCCCCGACCTCTCCCTCATGCCCCTCTCCAGAGCAAAAGGGCGCGTGCCCACGGCGCGCATCTCATCCCCCTACGCCGTCGACAATGACATGATGGCGCCAGTCATCGCCGACTTCTCCCCGTCTCACCCCTCTCTCTTCACCTCTCCGCCCTCTCTCCCCCCTCTCTCCAGAGCAAAAGGGCGCGTGCCCACGGCGCGCATCTCATCCCCCTACGCCGTCGACAACGACATGGCGCCAGTCATCGCCGACTTCTCCTCGCGCGGACCCGTCGTCAACCCGGCCATGCAGGCCTCCTGGGCCGGCACCAACGACATCTTAAAGCCCGACGTCGTCGGCCCGGGGGTCAACCTCTGGGGCCCCTGGCGCACCCCGTCCCTCGCCCAAGCTTCCACTCCTAACTTCGGCATGGTTTCCGGAACATCCATGGCTACTCCTCATCTTGCGGGGCTTGCGGCGCTGGTTGTGCAGAAGAATCCGACTTGGTCGCCCGCTCAGATCATCTCTGCGTTCATGACAACTGCTAGCACCATGACTAATCGCGGCACGTTGATTCCTACGGACACGGGGAGCGTGGCGACCCCGTGGGACATGGGCCAGGGCCAGGTGAACACCAGCGGATTGCTAAACCCCGGGCTGACATACGACGCCTCGTATATCGATTTTGTGAATTTTCTCGCGGGGCAGAGCAGCTGGCGGGCGAATAATATCTTTTCGGGCATGCAGCTGACCCCCGTGCCGGCGTACAATCTCAACCGTGCATCCATCAGCGTGTCACGGATGAAAAGGTTTGTCACGATCAACCGGAGAGTGACGAGCGTGTGGGTCAGGCCGTCTACCTATCGTGCTGTGCTCGTGGTTCCTGATAACGTCGGAATTGACTTGGAGCCGAAGATGTTTACGATAGCTCCCGGAGCGTCGGTGAAGTATCAGATGAATATTACGGTGCGGAGGGCGTCGGCTGCGTTCTCGTATGGGAGCTTGACATGGGTGGATAATAATGGGCATGCAGTGCGGTCCGTGATTGCTGTGCAGCCGCTGACAGCGTGAGGAGGCGGGGGTGGGAGAGGAGAGAGAGGAGGAAGAGCAGTGGGGAAGGAGGACACGCCGCAGCAGCAGTGGTGGAGGTTGAGAATGGATGTATCTGGGTGGTGGGTGGGCCTTGGAACCAGTAGACGGCTGAGAGAATGGGTGGACCTTCAAATATAGACGACCATGCTATATGGTGCATTTTGGCGTTCCGGCTGGAGCTGAGTGTGTTGGTTGGTGCGCCTGTGTACATTCACAAGACACGACAGTACCTGCGTGACACGCATGACTACAGTTTTCTCCTTGGTTACCCTCGTAAACCTACATCTTTAATGGATAAAAATTGGTAAGCCGTGTGCTGCTGTGTGCAATAACAGCGTAGTTTTGTGAGGACACCACAATGACAGCAAAGTTTTGTGTTATGGTATTGATTTGATGGATATGGCAGTGTGGAAAACTTGTATGCATTGCAATGCAACTTATACGTAACCAAGGTGTGAGCATGATAGAAAGAACTTGTTTATCCCTTTCTACTAGCAGCATACGGTAAATTGTATTTAGAAAGCCTGGTAAGCGCAGCCGTGGTAGATCAGATTGTACTTGCTGCGTGAGCTGTACCCTAAATTTGGGGGCTGCCCTTACCAAGGTACCTATCATGAAAGTGCTACAGTACATCCCCAATTCTGCTAACAGATGCTAACTCCACCTGTAGATTATACTGTAGTGATGCTAGTTGTAAGTACGGTATAGGGAAGAGAAAGGAAACCCTTCCAGAAAGCCTAGGGAATACGGTAGTTGCAGCATAGCTACGGTAGCAGTACCGTATTACGTACATAGAAAGCATTATGTTGCGTGAAATGTGGCCTCTACCGCATTCTCACAAGCCCCCCCCTTATGTAGCACGTACGGTAGCACCACGTGCCTCGTATATGGTCTTGGGAGTCTTATATTTGCATTCAACAAGAAGGAATGCGATGCTAGTAGCTTGCAAAATTGTACACCACATTGTACCGTAACCAGGCTTCATTAAAATAATGGCTGCAAGCACATCTTACACCAAAGCATGAAACAATCATGCATTCGTCACGTAAGCCATACCCTCGCTCAAGCCATGTTGATAGATTACACTGTAACTTTTGTGAAAAACATTGAGGGCAGCGGGTAGTGCCCCAGTGAAGGGGTAGGAATCACCGTGGCCACAATTGGAGTTGTCTACCTGCAAAAGTGCAAGCGGGAATTTACCCAATGCAGGCAAGTTGGCTCAACCAATATGGTTGGTGCCATGCTGTAGGTTACTGCATTCGGCACCCAAGACAGCATTCATCTCTCACCAAGAGTCGCCTCGTGTGCACAATTCCCCTTGCACGGATGCTGCTTCACACACACCTCCCGACCTCTCCACACCTCGTCACGCCTCCTCGTGCCTCTCCACACCTCTCCACACATCTTCACGCCTCTTCATCGCTGGAAGAATCACTGCTCGAGTCACTGCTAGCAGACGAGTAACTGATCGTAACAAAGGGGGTGGAGAGCTGCAGAGGGCGCATCATGCTCTGCTTCTTCATCTGGTGCGAGCGCATGCGCTGCAGGATGTCATCCAGAGTGGTCACGGCCGCTGCGATGTGCAACCCCTTGTTCAGCATCACGCATTCGGCACGCTCCCCCATGGCTGCATCCGTGATCTCCGCTCGCGACGGGAGTCCTGTCTTGGCCAGACCTTCTAGGACCTGTAGGGGAAGGGTATGGTTAAGTGGGAGGGGGGAAGGGTGTGGGGGGCCAGGGCGGGGGTTGTTTGGGGGGAAATGGATGGGAATGGAGAAGGGTGGAAGGGTAAGTTTTGAGTCAAAGAGAGTGTTGGAAGGATAGCCTGAGGAGGAAACGGCGAGAGTGGACGAGCGGAGGGACGGGGGGAACCGAGGCTGCAGCAGCACTGGGCAGCATTGGGTGTACCGCTGAAAGAGTGTAGGGTTTTGGGTTAAGGTGTCAGCGCCAGCAGTGGCAGCGGCTGCAGCAGTGGCAGCGGCAGCAGCAGTGGCGGCGGCAGCAGCAGTGGCGGCGGCAGCAGCAGCACGCACCTGGGTAGCCCATATGGTGGGCACGTGAGCCGCCTCACAGAGCCACAGCACCTCCTCCTGCACCTCTGCCAGCCGCTCCCAACCGCACTCCACCGCCATGTCTCCCCGCGCAATCATCACACCGAGCGGACCCGATCCCCTCATGCCCTGGTGGTTGGGGATGGTCAGGGAGGGAAGGAAGAGGGAGAATTGTGCGCTTGTTGAGAATCAGCGTGCCTTTATTTCAACCCGTGTGCTTCCCCTGACATGTCCCACCCCCCCCAACAAAATCGTCATGAATCCCAAGGGGGGAGCAGCAGTTGCCCCCCGAATACGGGCATAGATTGGATGAATCACGCAGGAGAGACAGGAGAGGGCGGAGTGTGGGTACGACGGTCTGTGGAGGCAGCTAGCTCATTGCACTTTGCTGTGAACCTGATCGTCTACATTAAACAGTGAACAAGGAGTGGAGGACCGTTCAAGAACAGGATACACTCCCCTGCTCCCCTGCTCCCCTGCTCCCCTGCTCCCGTGCTCCCATGTTCACATGCACCCACGCCCCCATGCGCCCCTGTTCACACGAGTGAGTGTGTGCGCGCGCGCGCGCGCGTGTGTGTGTGTGTGTGTGTGTGTGTGTGTGTGTGTGTGTGTGTGTGTGTGTGTGTGTGTGTGTGTGTGTGAACTCGCTCACCTGCAGCATGAGCCATGGCAGGTTCTGGAAGGCGCGCTTGGTCTCAATCTTGAGCACCACTCCCAGGTCATCCGCTCCCCGCTTCGCCAGCTCCTCCTGTCATGGTGCAGCGTACACACGGTGGGGAGGAGAGAGGGGAGGGGCGCAGGGGCGACGAGGGAGGAGGGAAGGGAGAGGGTTGAGGATGGGAGGAGAAGGACCTGCTGCCCGTTCCTACAGCAACCCCACTTGTGTGTGTGCGTGTGTGCGTATGTGCGTATGTGCGTATGTGCATGGACACAGAACGGCAGGCAGAAACGCAGAAAAGCGCAAGAGCGCAGCAGGGGAAACGCCGAGCCAGTGAGACGACATGCCACGGCTCGACTCGACATGACTCGGCACGACACGGCAAGGCGCAGCAAACGACAGCACGGCATGGGGTACGAGCATGGCATCGCACCTGCAGCATGATAACATCAGAGGCGTCGTTGACAAAGGAGAAGGCCACCATGTCAGCATGTGCAACAATGAAGTCCAGGTCTGCTATGTCCTTGGCTGTTAACCCCTGCAGCTGCAGATCGCTGTCAGGAAGGTTCATGGCCTGAGGGGAGTGGGGGGGGGGGTGCGGGAGGGATGAATGAGAGGGAGGGGGAGAGTGGGGATGGGGAGGGAAGGCAAGGTTGGTTTAGGTGATATGTGGGAGGGGCGGGGAGGGATGGACTGGGGCGGAGAGGGGTGGGATGGGGTGGGGTGGGATAACAATCTCCTGCATACAACTTCATGCTCTACACACCAAAGCACAGCACAGCACTGGTTCCCCCACAAGCTCTGCTTTCCTCTCCTTCCCCCGCAGCAGCACCCCCACAACCCCTTAGCCACCCCTCTCCGCCGCACGGCCCTGTTGCACCTTCTCGCTCTTGAGCTTGGCGCCTCCGGGCGGCGTCTTGCAGATGCGCACGCGCACCTCCTCGCTCCCCACCGCCTCCACCACGCCCTCTATCTTGCCGTCGTCCAGCTTTACTGGATCTCCCTCCTGTTGCCCCGCCAGGGCGCCATGCACATATATACACACACACACACATGCTCAGGTGGACATGCGAAGAGCTAAACGCGCGGATGGGCTTATGGCCGCATGGAGATGATGATACGAGCAGGAAGAGCGCGGGTCAGAACGAAGCGGACGGAAGAATGCGAGGTTGGGGTTTGAACATGAAGGGGACACTTGGGGCAGCATGTGCGGAAGGAGTGTGTGGGCCGCAATGCCATGCTTGCTCTATGCATGTGCATGGGCATGTGCATAGCAATGTGCATAGCAATGTGCATAGCAATGTGCATAGCAATGTGCATAGCAATGTGCATATGCATGTGCATGCACACACAACCTCGTGCACACACACATGCACAACAGCGCACCTTGAGATTCGTGAAGACCTGCTCCAGCGAGCAGCTCACAGCAGCCGGGCGCACAAGCGCACACGTGCACACACGCATACACCCGCCCACCTACTCACCCACACACCCAAGCACACCCACACCCACACATGCACAGTGAACCGACCTTGAGATTCGTGAAGACCTGCTCCAGCGAGCAGCTCACAGCAGCCGGGCGCACAAGCGCCCCTGTGACAGCATCGTACTGTGCCTTGCTGCCCTCGCCCTCCCCGCGCACAATCAGCAACTCGTCCCCCACCGCTAGCTCTATTGCCACCTCTTTAGCCGGCAACTCCCCTATGCACGCCTCTGCTGCTGCTGCTCCTGCTGTGATCTTCCCCACCTTGTTCTTCTTCGTCTTCCCCTTCACTTCTGTTTTCGACTCTGCCCGCTCGACGCTCACGGGCAGCCCGGTTTCAAAGGAGACGGATTTGCGGCATTCCACGATGACCTGCGGCCCCTTAGCTCCTGGGAGCACGTCCGTCACGAGCAGAGATCTCCTCTTGCCGCGTGCGTCCTGCATCGTGAGCACGTCACCGGTCTGCACCGCCTGGAACCACTTCGCGGAGGCTTGCACAGGGATAGTCGGCAGCGCCGCTGCTGCTGCTCCTGCTCCTGCTGCTGCTGGCGCTGCAGCTGCTGCTGCTGCTTGAGGGCTTGCGGTGGCGTAGGGGGAGGAGGAGGAGGAGGAGGGAGTGGAGGGCGCGGCGGGGAAGAGAAGTGCTTGCAGGGGGGATACTGCTTTTCCCCGGGCGTCCTTGTTGGGCTTGAGGCGCAGCACCCGCAGTCCAGCGGGCATGGGACCTGTTCTCAGCTTCGGCCCTGCTAGGTCCATCAACACCCTGGGGAAGTACAGAGGGCGCAGAGACGGGATGGAAAGGGGGAGGGGAGGGGGTGGTATGGGCGTTAGTTGGAGTCAAAAGGCATGGGACCTGTTCTCAGCTTCGGCCCTGCTAGGTCCATCATCACCCTGGGGGTGGATGGGGGGTGTGCGGGGAGTTGGGATTAAGGATGGGGCAGGCGAGCAGAGGGGTTGAGGCGGCACGCGTGGGGAGCATGGCGGGCATGGGACCTGTTCTCAGCTTCGGCCCTGCTAGGTCCATGAGAACCCTGCAGTGGGGTTGACAGTGTGCGCGCGGAGAGGGGATGGAGGAGGGGAACGGGAGGCGCGGGGAGGGAACGGGGGGGTGGATGGGAGGGGAAGGGAGAGGGGAGGGGAATAGCGGCAGGCAGCGATACGGATGCCAGGCGGCTGAAGGGAAAAAGGTGGACCGCGCGATCTTGCCTTGAGCTTCACTTCACACTCCCCCACACTCCCTCACAACTCCTCATACCCCACCACAACCCTTCACACCCCCCCTCACACCCTCCCTCACACCCCCCCTCACACCCCCCCTCACACCCCCCCTCACACCCCCCTCACCCCCCCTCACACCCCCCCTCACACCCCGCTCCCACGCCTCCCACCCATCCCCCACAAACCTGCAGGGGCGGCCAAGCTGCGCGGAGAGCTTCCGCACATTCGCCACAATCCTCCCCCACACGACCGGATCATCATGCGCGCAGTTGACGCGCGCGACGTTCATGCCCGCGCGCAGCAGCTCCGCCACGAGCGCCCTGTCCGCGGCGGCCTCCGCGGGCAGCGTGACCATGATGAACGTCTTGCGGTGCGGCGGATGCGCGCCGAGCAGGTCCATTGTGTTGCGCTGCAGCTGCCTGTCGCCGTCCGCGAAGTCGAGCACCGGCGGGAGCACGTCCGTCGCGAGAGCCTCCACTTGCGACGCCTGTGGTAGAGTGCGGTGGGGTGGGGTGGGGTGGGGTGGGGTGGGTGTGGGGTGGGTGTGGGGTGAACAATAACTAGGTGAAGCCGAGTGACGAGGACAGGCAATGTTGATGCTGCACACGACGCACATGCAGCAGCACACACACCAGGTTTCGAGACTTGGGCCTGGACTTGACAGAAGACCTCGCGGACGCGGAGGATGCGGAAGCGTCAGCGGGCGAGAGCTCGCGCAGCATGGAGCGCACGACGCGCGTGACGGCGTGGATGGACGCGAGCGTGTGCGCCTCGGTGCGCCCCAGCGACGAAAGCCCCAGGTCCGCGAGCGCCTGCTGCAGGTGGCGCACGTCCATGTTGCGCAGCGCCATGTAGTGCAGCAGGTTGCGCGCGGACTCGCGGTACCGCCTGCGGGGGGAGGGGGGAGGAAGCGTGGGATCGGGGGAATTGGGGGAGGGAAAGGGGTGGGGGAAGGGGATGAGTTTTGAGTCGACCCAGAAGGCATGTTGCGCAGCCCCATGTAGTGCAGCAGGTTGCGCGCCGACTCGCGGTACCGCCTTTGGGGGTAAGGGGAAGATTGGGGGAATACGATGTTTAAAGGGGGCGACGGGTGTGGGGAGAAGGAATCGAGAAGAAGAGAAGATTAAAAGGGGGGATACGACACAGAACAGGGAGCGGGGAGCAGCGGCGTACGGCGCGGAGAGGTCGACATGGTGCCGATTGCACATCTCCAGCTCCATCGCATGGTCTCGAATCGCTTCTAACTGCTCCAGCAGCGCGCTTAACTCCCTCCGCCGCTCCTCGCGGAGCTTCTCCTCCTCCAGGCTCCGCGCCGCGCGCTTCGACCTCCGCACGCGCGCTTCCGACCCGCTGCGCCCGCCGCTCGTGCCGCTCGGAAGCGCCCAATTCGACACGGCGTGCTCCGCCAGGGGGACGAGGAGGCTGCTGGCGGCTTCCGCGACTGACGGCGCGGTTCCCGGGCCGAAGCAGCGTTCGATGAGGCCCGGACGCGCGGGCTCGCGGGTGGGCGACGACGAGCGCAGCGAGCGCGGGGCATCCGCGGAGGACGCGCCGCTGATTGCATTCTCGTAGGGCGCGGAAGGCGGTTCGCCGTTCGCGAAAGCGGAGCTGCTTGTAACTGTTTCGGATGGCACGAGGAGAGGATCAAGGCGAGAAGACCTCACCGCGGCGCCCTTGACGAGCATCGATGCGCCGTTCGAAGAAGATGCAGCAGCAGCAGACGACGCCGCAGATGCGGACGCGGAAGCGGCGGCGGAGGCGGAGGTGCCCAATTGCGGATTGCGCGCGCGCGCACAGGGAGGCGTGGCAAGCGGCAGCGCCGGCGAGGGACGGAAGAGCGAGCCGCGAGCGTGCGAGGCTTGCAGCGGGGTAGGCCCGCGATATGGCGCGCGGGTGCTGGCGTGGCGTGGGGAAGTGGGAAAAGGGGAGACGGAGTGTTGGTGGGGGGAATGAGGAGTTGACAATTGGATCATGGATGGGCTGCAGTGACAGTCAACGTTTTGAGACGACTCAAGGTTACTATAGCGAATTCGTGTCGGTGGACGTGGAGCAGAACGGCGTGGAAGGGTGAGGAAGGCTTAGAAGCTATCTGAAACGTAAGAAGAAGAGCGTAAAGAGAAGTGCGTAAGGAGAATTGCATGAGGAGAAATCCAAGTGAAAGGGGTTCAGGATGTACCCGAAGAACGAGGAGCCTATCCAATGAGATTGCTGCAGGATCGTTTAGTGGCAATTGCCGTTGAAGCCAGATGTCGAAGCGATGGCGACCGGTTGCGTTGGGTCATGCGCGGTCAGGATGTCGGGTGGAACCACGGTGATGTCAAGCAAGACGCAGATTCGCGATAGGAACATGCAGCCAAACGGAAAGGTAAGCAAACATCAGGAAAAGCCAAGTGAGATTGCGAACATCAGCATAATAAGGACCGCGTACAATCAATCACGGATCCTGCAAGGAATGGACGGTCTTATATCGAATTCCTAATCGAATGGCGGACCTCGTTTGATGGGAATTGAGTTGAGCGGAGTCCTGCGGCAGGCGGGATTGCTGCGATCACTGGTGAAGCTGCGAATTCCAAAGCCATGTCAGCGTAACAACTCTGCTAAATAATAAGAGGTTCAGATACGGACGGTGTCGACGCAACTAGCTGGCAATGAGGGACTAACGCCTGCAAATCTAGGTACGCGAGGGAACTAAGCTGTCGCCTCTATTCAACTTCTCGGACTGACAAGAGAATTATAGATGAAAGAAAACAATGGATTCTGGAAGATGGATATACAACTGAAGGACGCGGACTCTATTTATACTGCTCTCGCCGCTGTCGAAGGGGGAGGAAGGGCTTGGGGTGGGGGCACGGTGTACCGCGCCACATCTCCGCGGATGTAAGGGTGTGGGCCCAATCGAGTTTGATCGCGATTGTTCTGATCGGGTCGGATCTGATCGGGTTGCTTGTGATCGCAGTGCCCGAGCCGCCCGATCAGAGATATTTTTCGAAGAAGGCTTCCAGCGCCTGCGGAGCAAGCGCTGTACATTACGTCGCAATTTCGTCCCCATTCTAGCGAGGCTGGCGACCATACGTCACCTGGCGAGATTATTCGTTCACCTGTAATTTTAATAGTGTAACTATTCGCAAGCGTCGCTGTGGGCCCCGATCACATGCAATCAGGTGATCGCCTGTGATCGAGGAAAATCGACTTTGATCGGGGTGAAAATCGGGTCTGATTGAGTTGGGGCGATCAGCTGATCGCGATCAGCTGATTGCCCCTGATTGCACAAAATTGGTATACAGGCTTTCTGGAAATTGTTGATTGCATGTGATCGAGGCGATCAAACTCGATTGGGCCCACGCCCTAAGATACGGATTTTTGCGGTAACGTAGCGAAGGCTGCGTTGTACCTTCCCGAAACAAACCGTTTTAAACACCAGATCAGCATCCATCCACAAATAGATATTTGCAGTAAACCAAGAAGTCTCTCTACAGCCTTTCACAAAGAGTTTAGCTAAGTGCATTTCGCTGTGCGCAACAAGAAATGAAGCTGCGACAGCGCATTCCATCGCCACGTGATGAACCTGACGGACCGACTTTGCGGAGCCTGACTGCGGGCTACCAAACTTTCCGCTACTGGCGCAACTACTTCTTGCTATTACTGACCGTCGTCTCCATATTTCCGAAATGACATCCAGAAATATTTTTCAATTCGTCATCCACCCACCACGGAAGCGTGAAAACAAACATATGTAGAAAACATAAACTATTAACAGGTCGTAATCTGACCTAAATGCGATCACGCTCCACTTCATAATATTGCTGCCAAGCCAGCCAATCACGGTCCATAGCGCCTCGTAATGAAAGAATTCGTCTAGCCCACGAGCGCGCCAATTGTTACTGCGAGAGATCTCGCGAGTGCAGCAGATCCTGAAATCTCGGAGCAGGTGCCCTGCCAGTGCAATGTGCTGACGAGGCACATCTCACCAGCACGCGTCTACTGCGGTCAGAAGCTGCAACAAGATCTTGGGTACGGTTGCGAAACTGTGCGAAGAAACACTGGTTCAACTTCGCGAAGGTCTGCCCGCTTGTGGTTGACTCGGTTCCCGATATGAACAGTGCACTCACAGAAGTGCGATTTTTTACGGCTAGAAGGAGGAGGTGTTTTTGGAAGACCTCAGGAAGGAATATCCTGTATTCAATCATACCATTGCCCTTCTATCGAACAGGCCACCAACGAATCAACCGACTTGTCAATCCGAGCTTGCCAGAGTCGCCTTCTTAGTGAACTCCGCAGCACCGCACTAAACATCAGTAGTACAGCACACCAGCAAGGTGGGTGTGGGGGCTTCCCCCGTAACGAACAGGGTGATCACTGTAGAGAATTGAGATAAGGACAAAAGAGTATGATTGCACAATAGAATAAGACAAGAGTGAACTGTGGAATTGTAGCAAATGAGGATGAGCTTGATAGAAGAGAAGATGATACTTAAAACTTGTGACTAAGAGAAACTTTTGTAAGGTGGAATGCTTGATGAGATAAAAACTCAAAAAAGGGAAAGAGAGTATGAGCTTGTTGAGAGAATAGGAGAGGTGATAAGCACTTAAGTGAATCTTACTAGGGATAGTTGTAGATGTGACTTGTAAGAATGGCTTGGTCTTGAGAGCTTTACTTGAAGAAGAACATCAAGCTTGGTGTTGCGTGATGAGCCTTCCTCAAGCTTGTAGGTAGTAATCAACCTTATACTCAAGTAGAGTATGAGGTGGCTACTCTTCACTTTATGCTTAACTTTGTGGACTAATGAGAGACACTTTGTGAACATAAACTTATATTGAAAGAGGTATAGTACAAGCCTTATAGATCCATGAGGGATACATAGGCATGCTTAGAGAGAGTAACCATCAATGGTAGCCTTGGAAGAGAGTTGCATGAGAGTATCAACTTTGGAGACATAGAACTTGGTTGCTAGTGAGAAGCCTTTGTAGTAGAAGAGGAGCTTGAAGGAGAAGCTTGGAAATGAGCTTGGTGGAGAAGCTTGGAATGCATTGTTGTCATTGAAGAACCTTCTTGAGAAGTTGTAGAGATGCTTGATGTAGATGAATAGTATTGGAGCATATGATGGTGGTTGAGCACTTGATGAGTTGGAGATGCAAGCCTTGTTGAGTTGGAAGAGAGCTTAGTGAGTTGGATAAGGATGAGTGGAGGAGATGATGAGCTTTGTTGCCTTGTAATAGGAGGTGATGGGATAATCATAAAGTCCTTAGGGATGAGGTGGCAACTTTGGTGACTTGGGAAATGAAGGAAGGAAGGAATAAATGAGAGGCATGTGGAGGTTGATGACTAGGAAGTGGAAGCATGTGCTTGAAGGCACATGGGAGGAGGATAATTGGAGGAGGTAAATGACTTGGGTAAACTTTGATGAGTAGGAAAGGAAAGCACATGGAAAATCATGAGGAGTCATGTGCCTTATGGTGGGACTTGAGGATAAGTATGGGAAGTTGGTTTGAATATTGGTTGAGTTGGACTAGAAAAGGCTATGGTGGTTGGGAGTAGTTGGTGGTTGATAGGCTTGAGTTGGAGAGGATGAGTTGGAAAAAGGAGTTTGTAACTTGAGTGGTTGGAATAGGCTTTGGAGGAGTTGAGTGGTTTGGATGGGTTCTTGGGAAAATGTGTCGAGGGTGTTTTGAGGGGAAGGGGTTGGAGTGGCACAGTAGCGTGGCACGTAAAGAGCGTGCCATTCACAACAATCACAACACAATTCACGCTTTCTTGGTCGTTCCTTCGCTCGTGCGGTTCGGAGCTGAGCAAGAAAGCATAGTATAGCTCAGCCAACGAAAACTGCCGCCCATTTTCGCGGTTCAGAACGGACACCCCCCTTCCTCGGGGTTGACGACCCCACGACGACCTCCGCGTGGAAAGCCCAGGCTATCTGCCTGGGCCCGGTGCTGGTGAGCCCTCGGGATGGTCGACGACCTGTCGACTTAGAGTTCCGCTGAGACAATCCCGAGAAGGACGTCTCAGCCGCGTGTCAGAATACCAGCTCGGCAAGTCGGGCCGCGATGATCGCCACGCGGCCACAAAGGGACGCCCGAGATAGTCCCCTGGATGGCGGGGCCACCGAGGTCTGCCAGGTTGGACACGACGGGCCAACGGAAGGTCTAGGGTGCTTCGCGTGGGAGATTCTCGTGCATGAACGTGGCAAGGTCGGTGCATACCAGACGGCATTCATCCAACGGTTGCCCACATGCGCAAGGAGAAATCCGGCCGTCCACTATCTATGGCTATGTGCAGTGGACACTGATGCTGCGGGAATGTCGGCGTCGACCAGAAGAGCATCATCGTGGTGCCACTCGGCAGTGTCTCCCGCCCTCGAGCTACCGAGCTGCACCTAATTCGGGACCACGCCACGTTGCCGCACGAAAGAGCCAGCGTGTAGCAGCCACGAAAAGAGCATGATGAGCGAAGAGCTGCAAGCAAGCAGCCATGCACGCCTGGTGGCACGTCGGACACGGCGCCGCCGCACGAGCGTACATGCATGGCGGCGTCCTGCACTGGGGTTTGCGTGGAGCGCCAAGTGGTGTGGAGTCGCTCACGACCATACCCATCCGTGGTCCCCGAAATGGTCGCTCATTCTGCCTGCCATTTTGTGTGCGTGTACGTCCGTAAGCTGGCACTTAGCTTTTTTTTTACCATTGACTTGACGGCCGGCACTTAGATTTTCTCTGGACGCGTAACGTCGGCGTCGTGAGAGTAGGCAGTGTTGAAAAAGAATGAATGAACTAACAGTGAAATGAGTACAAGTATGAAAACCTAGAAATGTGTACCCCCTATAGGCTAACCCACTGTAGCCTAAACAACTACAACAACATATATAATGTTTGACACACCCCCGTTGGCGAAGTGGGGGAGAACTAGGGGTCACGAGACCAGTCAAGTAAAGCAAAGCAAAGCAAAGCAAAGCAAGCTCAGGGTGGATCACAACGTCACCACA